ATAAGGTCCAAATATGTGGACATGAAAAGAGGAATTTTCAGTTTTATTAGGATATGTGTGATAAAAAGAAAAATGCAAATGAATTTTAAGAATAGGAAATGAAATTTTGTTGATAGTAAAAAGTAAGTCACGTGGGGAGTTGTAAAAAAAGTCACAAAGGATTAAGAGGCTGGATTTTATTTGGGTATTGGTAGTAAAATTTGTGTCAAAATTGAAAATGTCATTTTTCAGTATGTGCTTATAAGGACTTTGACACTTGGCTGAGCTCCTAAGAGGAGTATTGACAAAAAAATTGTTATTCGAAATTAAAAACAGTGGTTCGAAACCTATTGATTAAAATGATCTTTGTAGCTATAACTCTGTGCCAATATTTTCCTTCAAATATCCTCAAACCTCAAATTTCACAACAGATTCCAAAATTGACATATTATGACACGATTCTCTCCCTTATTTATTACGGCACGTATGATTGTCAAAAACTGACATACTTTTAGTTCGTGTGTTGTTATTTTTATTACCGATGAGAATGAACTTTAATCTAAATACAAAGAACAAGTTGATAAAGTTTTAAAGAACAAAATATTTAAAAGATTCTTCTTGTTAATGTCGTTGCTGCTCATTTGAAAAGCAACAAAATTTAAATAAAAAAAATGAAAATAAATCTAGTTGTCGTTTGAGTCGTAAAGTTAGGATGTAGGAGGAGATGCTAGTTTGTGTGGGGGGTGGGAGATTATTTTTTCAAAAAAAATGAAAAAATATTAAAGGTAAGATTTTTTGGAAAAATTACGATAAAAAATTTAAAACGTTCATTGCAAAAAATCTCAACCCAAAACCCACCTGATAGTCAAAACTACTTTTATCCTCAATATTCATCTCTTTTGTCTTCATGTTGATGACAATATACAGTAATGGTTATGATGATGGTGCATCAGAGTCATAAAACAAAAGACACAACGAAAAATCTTACAATTTATTTATTTTTCATGTCATTTTCACGTTTTTGTAGTTCATTCAGCTTTTTATGCTCATTCGTGCTGTGTCAGATAAAATGTTTAAGCTTACGATTAAATTGTAGCCAAAATGTTAAGGTCAATAGTCAATTTTTGGTAGCTGAGGTGAATATTTCATGAGACAATGCTGTTTGATGTTTGAGGTTAAGTTTCTAAATTTAATAAAATTTACAGGAATGTTTTGAGCTGGACTCGAAAAAAATCAATGATTTTTTAAAAATAAAATATCATTCTAATGAATATTGAGCCTCAACAGTTGAGGACATCATGCGAAATAAAAGATCATTTTAATTTTTATTATCAATTGAAAATTAAATTTATTTCATTTCACAACTTTCAATTTAAATTTTTCAATAAATAACAGCGAAAAAATTGATATTTATGGAACTAATTTCATTTAATCTCATTTATTTGTAAATGTATGTTCCTAAATTAATGAAATTTATTATAGTCGTAAATGCATTTTAATTTATTTGATGTAAGAAATATTTCACGCATACACATGTATTGATTTGGCCCCTTAAGATCATTTTGGGATAATTTTAAAAGGGGGTAGTTTTGAGTTGGTACTGAAAATTGTCAGTTTTAATGTTAATATAAGGAAATAATAAAAATCTGTTAAAATTGTGACAAGAAAATAAAAAATTCGCTCGAATTCTGGTAGAAATAATTTTATCGGCTCAAATTCTGGTAGAAAAAATTTTATCCGGTTAAATTCTGCCATAAAAAAATTAGTCGATTAAATTTGTCAGCAGAAAAATGACCAAAATTCAGACAAAAAGGTTTAAAAATTTATCCGTTGTAATTTTGGCAAAATCAAATTTATCCTGTGAAAATCTGTCAGAAAATTTAATTTTTTGCTCTTTTGAGCTCAAATTCTACCACAAAAAAAAACAAAATTGAGAATAAAATAATTTCAAGGATAATTGCCTATCAACCGTGGTAATTAGACTCAAAATAAGAGGAAAGTGAAAAAATTTCATGCTGGTTTCCGACTCAAATTAGAAATATCATCATCGATGTGACAAACTCCCGTTACACCATCGAAATAATAGAGTGTGGCTGTATGTACTTATACACGTGTCAATAAAATGGTTACAATGTTTTCAGTTCTAACGAAAAAAAAATTACATTTCATATTTACTTTCATCCTCTTTCACTGTGATGTGAAATAAAATTGAAACTCAAAATAAACTGTCACCCTCTTATAAATAAAAAACTGCACGTTTTCCATTAAAAAATTTTTCTTCAACAATGAAGTGAAAAAATAAAATAAATTCAGTTACAGAAAACTTGTTTTTTTTCATATTTTTATTTTGTTGTGCTTGGGATGAACAAAAAAGTAGCATAGAAACAATACCAGAAGAGAGAGAAAATGCAATCTGAAAAATGTTTGTTAAATTTCATTGAAAAGTTTTTCCATCTTTTGTTATGTCACAAAAATTTTATGCTGAATTTTCTGATGTGGTGAGGTGGGTTTTATGGACTATTTGTCAGTTTTTGGTTGAAATGAACTTCCGAATAAAATAGTTTTTTTTTGTCAGAATTCCAGTGGATTTTTTGTCGGAACTTTAACGGATTTTTTTTTCCGATTTTTAAGGTCAGAATTATTAATAGAATTCATAGACTAGGGTCATAGACTAGGGATATCGACACCCCATGCAACCCCCCCCCCACCTTAGTCACCATCATTTAATATCTAGTCCATTGAAAATGCGCTCTATCCATCCATCCCTAAAATACTCCATTCCAAAATAATTATTCACGTTCATATTCCACAAGGAAGCCATGACAATTCTTATTCCTGACATACATAGTTATCTGCATTTGAATCACACGAGATGATACATCAATTTGATGGATTATTTTCTTGTTACTTTTAAAAACTCTAAAAAAAATGCATGATGTCTCTTTCTGCTTACTCAACAATAATGATGATGTTGATGTTTAATAAATAAGTAGAACACGTGTTTGAGATTTAAATATATAATAAAGAGATTTTGAGTGAATGTTCTTTGGTTTCTTTGATAAATTTGGTGGAAAATTCTTTATTATTTGAGGACATCAGTGATGGGGGGTAGGAAGGGATGGGTAATTTTTGTGTACAGACTTTACTATACGTCTTCAATACTAAAATGCTAGCTTCATGTAAAAAAATTGTTAAATAATATTAATTGAGCTATGAACATTTAGAAAATGGGTAGGGGGGAGGGGGTGAGTTGCATAAATTTTTATTTTTGGCATGCATCGATCAACTTCATGCAGTTGTTGAGAATAACAATTTAAAAAACTATTCCTAAAAACCATTGTACCACTTAATCAACACATCAGAATACAATATTTTTTTTGTTAAAAATTCAGCCGAAACTCGAGTAAAACATTCCGAATAAACTAGAAAAATGAGTGTAAAACTCGCACTTATTCAAAAACTTTTCATTATGATTTTCAAAACATTTTATTTCGAAATTAAATTTCCACTTAAACTATTTTCCAACATAAAAGCTTTTCAATTTAACAGACAAAAAAAACCTCACCTTCTCGTAAATCCATAAAAATTTTCACTTAAATCCTCTTATTCCACAGAAAAAATATTTCTCGAGTTAATAAAAAAAAATTTTAATCTGTAAAACTATTTTTTACCACACATATGCTCAGTTATATTGAGTTTATTAATATAAAAGTTTCTTGAATATTCGAGCATATCATTGTGAAGCCATTATGATAATTCATCATGAAGTACAATTGTTTTATGGACAGATTTTAATACTTTATGTAAAAAGTTGGTCTTATTGGATTTTATGCAGGTTCTCTCGTTCTCATAATGTTCACTTGATATTTTTTAATTATTTCAAAGTTAAAAATTTTTAAGCTTTTTCTGTCGTGTGACGCTATAGAATTATTTTTTAAAAAAAAAATTAAATCAAAAATTAACACAAAATTCAGAATTAAAAAATTATATTTAATTGCTTTATGTCTGGCCACTTCAATCCAAAATTCAAGAACATAATGAATTTTTAAAACATGAAAAAATTTTAAAAGTTTAATTGAATTAACTTACGTGAGATATTGTTCCATTAACTTTCAATTCACATTCATTGAGAAAATGGACAATTAAAAATGAAAATAAATTTCACAAAAATATGTGGAATTGTTCGAGGATTCATATAGCATTATAATGGGATTTTTAAAAAATTATTTCACTACTATTGACAATCATAAAAGTTAAATGAGTTTATTAAATTTGAATTTATTCATTGGACTAGAACTTCAACTGATTATTTTAGCAATTGCACTATAAATTCAAATTTTTAACATTTTACGTAAATAAATTCATGAATTTAAAATTCCAAAAATTTCATTATCATTCTCAACAATTCAAAAATAAAAGTTCTTTTTCTGTACCACATCCATCTACACACAATGCAACAGAGAGAAACGACTTAAAATTTATTCATAAATAGCTCAAATATCATTCAACAAAATACATAATGCATTATAATGACAATCATCCCTCCCCAAATGAATATAAACAAGCTCGTTCTCTCATCACGAATGCATTTTAAATCTGCATTAACTTTTGCATATGTGAACGCATTGTACGTTGGAGGCAATGAATATTATGCTGTTGATACAAAATGGATCTGGATGTACTTTATGAATGTGTACGAAAATTATATGTATGAGGATGTTGAATATAAAAAAAAAATTGAGAATGTTGAGAGGAAAATTTTATGGCATAAAATATACACAACAAGAAAAAGCCAATAATTTCATAAACAGCTTTTTACACTTAAGCATCGTCAACCTTATTCAGTCATTTTATATGCATAGACGAGGACTTGTGTGAATGTGGATTATTGTTTTGGAGAATTATTATTATTTTCATGTTTACGACTTAATTTTGATAATCTTTTGCTTTTAAATGAGTCAACGCTTCAAGATTTACTCACAAATAAGTCAACGCTTCAAGATTTACTCTCAAGTAAGGCAATGCTTCAAGATTTACTCACAAGAAAGTCAACTCTTCAAGATTTACTCACAAATAAGTCAACGATTCGAGATTTACTCACAAATAAGTCAACGCTTCAATATTTACTCACAAATAAGGCAATGCTTCAAGATTTACTCACAAATAAGTCAATGCTTCAAGATTTACTCACAAATAAGTCAATGCTTCAAGATTTACTCACAAGAAAGTCAACTCTTCAACATTTACTCACAAATAAGTCAATGCTTCAAGATTTACTCACAAATAAGTCAATGCTTCAAGATTTACTCACAAATAAGTCAATGCTTCAAGATTTACTCTCAAAGAAGGCAAGGCTTCAAGACTTACTCACAAATAAGTCAACGCTTCAAGATTTACTCACAAATAAGTCAATGCTTCAGAATTACTCTCAAAGAAGGCAAGGCTTCAAGACTTACTCATAAATAAGTCAACGCTTCAAAATTTACTCACAAATAAGGCAATGCTTCAAAACTTACTCACAAATAAGTCAACGCTTCAAGATTTACTCTCAAGTAAGGCAATGCTTCAAGATTTACTCACAAATAAGTCAATGCTTCAAGATTTACTCACAAATAAGTCAATGCTTCAAGATTTACTCACAAATAAGTCAATGCTTCAAGATTTACTCTCAAAGAAGGCAATGCTTCAAGACTTACTCATAAATAAGTCAACGCTTCAAGATTTACTCACAAATAAGTCAATGCTTCAGAATTACTCTCAAAGAAGGCAAGGCTTCAAGACTTACTCATAAATAAGTCAACGCTTCAAAATTTACTCACAAATAAGGCAATGCTTCAAAACTTACTCACAAATAAGTCAACGGTTCAAGATTTACTCTCAAGTAAGGCAATGCTTCAAGATTTACTCACAAGAAAGTCAACTCTTCAAGATTTACTCACAAATAAGTCAATGCTTCAAGATTTACTCTCAAAGAAGGCAATGCTTCAAGACTTACTCATAAATAAGTCAACGCTTCAAGACTTACTCACAAATAAGTCAACGCTTCAAGATTTACTCACAAATAAGTCAATGCTTCAGAATTACTCTCAAAGAAGGCAAGGCTTCAAGACTTACTCATAAATAAGTCAACGCTTCAAAATTTACTCACAAATAAGGCAATGCTTCAAAACTTACTCACAAATAAGTCAACGCTTCAAGATTTACTCTCAAGTAAGGCAATGCTTCAAGATTTACTCACAAATAAGTCAATGCTTCAAGATTTACTCACAAATAAGTCAATGCTTCAAGATTTACTCACAAATAAGTCAATGCTTCAAGATTTACTCTCAAAGAAGGCAATGCTTCAAGACTTACTCATAAATAAGTCAACGCTTCAAGATTTACTCACAAATAAGTCAATGCTTCAGAATTACTCTCAAAGAAGGCAAGGCTTCAAGACTTACTCATAAATAAGTCAACGCTTCAAAATTTACTCACAAATAAGGCAATGCTTCAAAACTTACTCACAAATAAGTCAACGCTTCAAGATTTACTCTCAAGTAAGGCAATGCTTCAAGATTTACTCACAAGAAAGTCAACTCTTCAAGATTTACTCACAAATAAGTCAATGCTTCAAGATTTACTCACAAATAAGGGCTCGTTCACTTATTACGTAACGCAAAAAAACGAGTTTTTAGACCCCCCCTCCCCCCCTGTAACAAAGCGTAACAAAATCTTAGACCCCCCCCCTCCCCCCCATAACGTAACAATAATTTTTTTCATTTAAATTGTTTATCAAATGTTTATTATACTTCCTTTAAAATTTAAAATGAATATAGAAATATATTCACAAAAATTGAAAATTTTGTGTGAATATGAAAATTATAAAAAAATATATTTTTTGAAAAGTTACGTAACAAAATTTAGACCCCCCCCCTCCCCCTGTAACAAACCGTAACAAAATCTTAGACCCCCCCTCCCCCCCTAGTGCGTTACGTAATAAGTGAACGAACCCTAAGTCAATGCTTCAGAATTACTCTCAAAGAAGGCAATGCTTCAAGACTTACTCACAAATAAGTCAACGCTTCAAGATTTACTCACAAATAAGTCAATGCTTCAGAATTACTCTCAAAGAAGGCAAGGCTTCAAGACTTACTCATAAATAAGTCAACGCTTCAAAATTTACTCACAAATAAGTCAATGCTTCAAGATTTACTCACAAGAAAGTCAACTCTTCAAGATTTACTCACAAATAAGTCAATGCTTCAAGATTTACTCACAAATAAGTCAATGCTTCAAGATTTACTCACAAATAAGTCAATGCTTCAAGATTTACTCTCAAAGAAGGCAAGGCTTCAAGACTTACTCACAAATAAGTCAACGCTTCAAGATTTACTCACAAATAAGTCAATGCTTCAGAATTACTCTCAAAGAAGGCAAGGCTTCAAGACTTACTCATAAATAAGTCAACGCTTCAAAATTTACTCACAAATAAGGCAATGCTTCAAAACTTACTCACAAATAAGTCAACGCTTCAAGATTTACTCTCAAGTAAGGCAATGCTTCAAGATTTACTCACAAATAAGTCAATGCTTCAAGATTTACTCACAAATAAGTCAATGCTTCAAGATTTACTCACAAATAAGTCAATGCTTCAAGATTTACTCTGAAAGAAGGCAATGCTTCAAGACTTACTCATAAATAAGTCAACGCTTCAAGATTTACTCACAAATAAGTCAATGCTTCAGAATTACTCTCAAAGAAGGCAAGGCTTCAAGACTTACTCATAAATAAGTCAACGCTTCAAAATTTACTCACAAATAAGGCAATGCTTCAAAACTTACTCACAAATAAGTCAACGCTTCAAGATTTACTCTCAAGTAAGGCAATGCTTCAAGATTTACTCACAAGAAAGTCAACTCTTCAAGATTTACTCACAAATAAGTCAATGCTTCAAGATTTACTCTCAAAGAAGGCAATGCTTCAAGACTTACTCATAAATAAGTCAACGCTTCAAGACTTACTCACTAATAAGTCAACGCTTCAAGATTTACTCACAAATAAGTCAATGCTTCAGAATTACTCTCAAAGAAGGCAAGGCTTCAAGACTTACTCATAAATAAGTCAACGCTTCAAAATTTACTCACAAATAAGGCAATGCTTCAAAACTTACTCACAAATAAGTCAACGCTTCAAGATTTACTCTCAAGTAAGGCAATGCTTCAAGATTTACTCACAAATAAGTCAATGCTTCAAGATTTACTCACAAATAAGTCAATGCTTCAAGATTTACTCACAAATAAGTCAATGCTTCAAGATTTACTCTCAAAGAAGGCAATGCTTCAAGACTTACTCACAAATAAGTCAACGCTTCAAGATTTACCCACAAATAAGTCAATGCTTCAGAATTACTCTCAAAGAAGGCAAGGCTTCAAGACTTACTCATAAATAAGTCAACGCTTCAAAATTTACTCACAAATAAGGCAATGCTTCAAAACTTACTCACAAATAAGTCAACGCTTCAAGATTTACTCTCAAGTAAGGCAATGCTTCAAGATTTACTCACAAGAAAGTCAACTCTTCAAGATTTACTCACAAATAAGTCAATGCTTCAAGATTTACTCACAAATAAGTCAATGCTTCAGAATTACTCTCAAAGAAGGCAATGCTTCAAGACTTACTCACAAATAAGTCAACGCTTCAAGATTTACTCACAAATAAGTCAATGCTTCAGAATTACTCTCAAAGAAGGCAAGGCTTCAAGACTTACTCATAAATAAGTCAACGCTTCAAAATTTACTCACAAATAAGGCAATGCTTTAAGACTTCCTCACAAATAAGTCAACTCTTCAAGATTTACTCACAAATAAGTCAATGCTTCAAGATTTACTCACAAATAAGGCAATGCTTCAATATTCACTCACAGATAAGTCAACGCTTCAAGATTCACTCACAAAAAGTTAAGGCTTTAAGACTTACTCACAAATAAGTCAACGCTTCGAGATTTAATCACAAATAAGTCAATGCTTCAAGATTTACTCTCAAAGAAGGCAATGCTTCAAGATTTACTCATAAATGAGTTTATAATCTCGACCATATTACCAATTATATAATCCCAAACCCTTCCAAAAATTCAGCAATCTTCACACAAATTCCATCTCTTTAAGCAAAAACTATTATTGAAAATTTATCCATAAACGAAGAAAAATTGCAAATCCATGCATGCAAGATGTGAGAAATTGCTTACAACATGGCAAAATGAAGGAAAAGTAATGTTGTTAGGCATTGGTGATCAAGTGTAAGCTCATGGATAGGATAAACGTTTACAACTTACTTGGCTCCTTCCAACACATGTAGACATAAATAAAGTTACGCCATTGTATGCCTAATTTATACATATAAATTGCTTAATTTGTTTGCTGATGTAAAAATTGTGGTTTTTCGGGGGCTTTGTGAGTATCTTAAGGGATTTAATGTAAGATGGAATTGTGTGGGATTTTTGTGGATTGTTGGAGGTATTGTTGAAATTGGAAAAAATAAGTGCATGGAAATAAGTTTAGAAGTATAAGGAAATGGGCGGACGAGGTAAAATTAGTAACATTTTGTGGTTTTTGAAAGGGAATTAAATCTTATTTTGCCACAGACATAAAACTCTAGCTTCACAACTGTCGCTGTATACCTCAAATACCGACTTCCTTACAATAAACCTCTCCATAATCAAATATACACGAGTACTTCAAACAATCTCAATAAGCCTTAAACGATTTCCAAAACTGAAGTAAAGTCAACTGACAAAGAAAAGTTCAAGCATTAAATAACAAGAGACACAAAGAAATGTTGACATAATCGCTCTGAATTTAACAAAATTAAATTATTCAAAAATCATTTAAGTAAACACTTAAAACGCAACAACAACAAGACGCCCCACGAGAGCACGCTAGTATATATTTATACACATAAATGCGAAAATGTCATATTGATTTTAATATTCATATTCTGTATGTGACAAGAAAATAATTCTCTTTTTTTTGCTACTTGCTTCATGCTGTTTGCATGCTCTGTCGTTCCTTTTCTCATCATACGATACACTTCATATCGTTTAACTTAATATGTGCTTAACATTTTAGTGAAGAAAAATATCAAAAATATTTTATCGTTTTCCGCTTTCAACTATAAAGTGTGTGGATGGATGTACGTTTGAGTTATTTTTATTATTATTGTTATTGTTAGAATGGGGAATTTAAATACTCCTTATTTTTTTTTATTTTTTGCTTTAGACTTTTGAAATTTACTGAGCGCATTTGTAGGATTTTTTTGACATAGTTTTGATAGTGTCTATTAAGTTGATTTATTTTGAGGATCATTAACTTTATTTCCTTTAAATGAGTCGTTGCTTTAAATAGTCATTCTCAATAATAAGTCATTGCTTTAATTTTTGCCAAAAAATAAGTCGTCGCTATATAAAAAATTCTGAAAATTAAGTCGTTGCTTCACTTTCTGTCCTCAAATTAACGTCGTTGTTTTACTTTTCAATCTAAAAACTGAGTCGTTGCTTAACTTTTACAATCTCAAAATTGAGTCGTTGCTTTAATTTTTCAATCACGAAATTGAGCCTTAACTTTTTTAGAAACAAAATTGAGTCGTTGTTCACTCTTGAACCCCAAAATTAAGTCGATGCTTTATTGATCCTCAAAATTAAGTCGTTGCTTGATTCATCCTCAAAAATTCCATGTTCCAGAGATCTTGATTCAGTTTCTTTCCTTTACAATGTTCCTTTAATGAAATTTCTTGACACCAATGACTGACTTTATGTGTTGATAGACGGTAGAAAGTCAATAAATATTCCACCTCATTCCTGTACTTTTTCTTATAAACTTTACAGTTACGATGCAATACATGTTCGTAAACAGCTAACAGCTCCTTTCCTTATGACATGACTGTTTGCATTAAAATAAAAAAAAATGTATTCAAATATTTGAAGTTCCAATTATGTTGTGAAATATTAATATTTATGTGTTGAATATCAAATATTTCATTTCCATCGCTCTCACTCACTCTCTTTTCTTTGTTATCGATCGAAAAATTTCTTCCTCACATCAATGATTTTTCCATGTCTGCATGCTTACTTTTCAATGTGTTTT